AAAGGAGGATGTAAAAGCACTTCATTGTTCCTGCTCTGAAGAAAAACAATTTGCCACAGCCAGACCCCCCTCCCAGCAGTGCCAAGCACATGGTAATTTATTACCTCTGGATGTCTGATTCCAAGCGAAGGAAACTGAAATGTCATACCTTCATTCATAACACCGTCTCATGGAATTATTTTTTCCGGATTCCTGGGAAGTTGAAATATTTGAGAAGAATATCAGGAACTGTTGTTTTAGCCTGTTTGGTGAGTAGATAATTGCCTTCCAACTCTATTCTTTCAGGAAATGATGTGAGTGTTGCATTGTTCCTAGACGGGGGCAGCAATGTTTTTTAACAAGACACACACATACATATTTTTAAAAGAAACAAAACACAATAAAAACATGCAGTCTAAACCACTGTACTGAACCAGACTTTTTGAATCTGGCAGAGATAAGGGGTTGGCCCAGACAACATGTCCACATTTCACATAACTCAGAGCATTCTTTAGAAGGGATGTAAGCAACACTTTTTGTTGAAGTACAAAAAAAGAGAAATTTCAAACAAAACCTTTTATGATGTGAGAGTAAAAAGCTCATTATGTTAAGTGATATCAAGCATGACCAGAAAAGACCCTAGGGAGAAATTACACTTTCTTTATTGGATTCTGTGGGACAAACCAGCCTGGGAACTTGAAAGCAGAAGGAAGGTGCACGTGGAAATCACATCATATATGAAGAATAATTCCTTACCGTGTGAAAATTATTTGGAACTAGTTTTCAGCTAAAGTTTCTCTTTATGGCAGCCTTTTCAGAGGGAGCAGGCTGAGGCAATGACCTACAGTAGCACTGATACAATGGCTGCTGGATAACCTCCTCACAGAGCTATGTGGTCTTAGTCCAGCTACATGTCAACAGGCAAAATATAATGAGGACTGAAACTTGTAAGAACAAGGGCTCAGTTTGCGCCTCTTTATTTTGACTAAAGATAATGTCGAAAATTTAACACAGTTTTTGAATTTCAATTTAATTTCTGATTAAAAACTGGGCACCGAAAGGGGATACTATTTCTTCTAAGGGAGAAGGGTTTAAGGACTAAGGGACAACATGCAGAAACTGCTATGGCTTTCCATGCTCCAGATTGACCACCTCACTAGAGGACCTGCATCCTCTAAAAACAAACTGAAGGAAGATTTTTGCATTTAGTGACCATATGCTGATGGTGACCACCTCAGTGGCAAACTGTAAAACAACCTGATGTGCTGGGCTGCATTGTCCATTTCCTTCCTACTTCAACATCTGGCTAAGAAACAAAAGTCAATAATTAGACAGTTTTATTACGCAATATTCTATCAGTTTTGGATGTTTTAAAGGAAATTGCATTTGCTGTACTATCTGCAAGTAACAGCTGCAAGAAAGTTTCAAAACACAATGAGTCCTGGTCACTCCTAATTTATTTTTTTTAGTACATATGTATATTTTTTGAGACTAGGTGTTTCGGTTTTTTGAGTCTTTTTACAACCAGAGATAGTAGCCAGTGGTTAGGCCCACTTGTCCTAGATACATGGGTATGCAATTGTTAAAAGAAATGGGAGAAAGGTGCTGTCCTACACTAGGTGTCTGTGCAGTATTTGTATTCTGTACCAAGTGCCCCAGACAACAAATTCGTCACATTGGCTGATAAAATGAGCATCTCTAAACTTGCTCGAGACACAGATATCACAGTCCTGTTAGCTTCAAGTGCTTCTTGATTCCAGAAAATTTTTCCTCTCTGGCGATGTATTGCAGGATGCTTATTCTAAAAAAAGTTTTGAATCCTTAGGACTTTGAGAGCTTGACAGATAACTCCTCCTTAGGATTCCAAAAGCTAATTTGTTGCTTGAAACCAAGCTGCTACCTAGGCATACTACTGTAATTCTACTTTATAATTTTGAACATTGATTGTTTAGTAAATAAATGATGCTCAATTTTCTTTCAAATCAGTACATTGGAAGGATGCACAGTATTTAGTATTTATGTAATTCAGCTTAGAAGGTTTCTAGTTGACATAGTAAATATTGGAACGTATTTAGAACCATCTGGAGAGGGGATTTTTCAGGAATCGGAATTTATTTAATGAGGGCTAAAAACATCTGGAAAGGACAAACTTGTGTCCACTCATAAAGGATTTCCTTTGACCTCAAGCAATCCTGAATTAAATTTCCCAGGGCTAAAGCTACTGAAAAGTGCTGTGCATATTCTAGAACATGTTGTAGCAAGAGGCATTTTTGCATATCCTAGTTTGGGAAAGCACTGACTAGGGATCACCCCACAAGCCTTCCAAATCAAGATGGAAGATTTATTTTACAATTACTTCAAAGACAAGTAAAAATGCTTATCCAGTTCCTGCAACATTTACTGCAGCAAGAACAAAGGTTTTTTGGTTGTTTTTCCAGATTAAAGAATATTGGGACCATATGTCATGAAATGCTGGATAAATTTCTAGAATACATCCATCTCAAAACTTTAGTAATGAGTAAAAGCCATAAATAGTGCTTTGGTTCCCACTAAATTCCATTACATCACATGAAATATAATGTCTGATAAAAAAGAAAAATAAAAAATATACTCAGTTGCAGGTCTCCTTGTGTCCACCCAGTGAGTCATTAGTGGGGAAGACTGAGGAAATGCAAGATTTTATTTTAAATTATAGTTTTACCACACAGTATTGTCCACCCTTCAGTACAGTTGTCTCAAAAGCTCTTCTTGAAAGGGTTGTCTTTTTCTTCACTATCTACGAAATGCTGTTAAATAAAAATCTGAACCATCTATGTTCTGATTTGGCCCAGACAAAGCATATAAGGTGGCAAACTGAAAGTTCTGGTGGATAGTTCTACATGATTTCTAGTAAGGAAGTGCAAGTCTGAGCCTGGATTTTCAAAGCTACAGATTTACACTCTAGCAGGACTTCTGCAAGATTTTCTTCTTTCTAATGCTCACCATTGTCTTGAGTAAATTTGTTCCTACTTTGCTCATTGCTCATATATGAAACCATCAAAGTACTCTACAGAACTGGAAGGTACATGGATGTGGAGTAATGTATTTCTACAAGATTTCTTTCAACCCTTAGAAAACTCCCTTTGTTAATTGCTTCAAAATACTCTGATGCTTTTGACTTTTGCCCTCTCTTTCAAGCATCTACATTATTTGGATTTTTTGAACAATCTTTGACAAAACTATTTGTCAATAAAAAGGCACAATCTCCTTTAATAAGTTTAAATTTTTGCATCAAATCTTCAGAAAACCCGATCCACTGAAACCAACAGTAATGTAAGAATGCAGCTCTTGAAAGTTGTAATCTCCAACACTTGAGTCTAATCTCAGATAATAATTTTAATTAGAATGCAAAAGAACTGCAGACAACATTGTTCACATCAGCACAGGTAACATAAATAACTTTAAGAGTGTCCTGTTCTAATGGAGCAAATGCCACTGGAAAGTAGTGTCACTTTATATTTAAAAGTATGCGGCTTCACACACAAAACGTCTTTTACTTACACAAACACTGTGTTACAACTGAACAGCAGCATTTAAGTTTCATACCTCGTGTAAAATCAGGCTTCCTCATGCTCCTTCTCCAGACTACACTGACACCTGCTGGGAAACTTGTGTCAACCTCAGAATCCACACCCTTGAGACATACTAAGCATTTTTCAACTCAGCAGTGAACTAATTCAATTCACTGGCTGATTATGCCACGTATTTGCTGTACAGTTTGACTTCTGAAAAAACTCCATACTTTTTGAGGAAAGATCTAACAAGTCATAAATCATCAGAGAGGATGTGATGTTCCAGTTTTAATGATCTACCTTTTCTTTAAAATGTATTACCTAGAGTCACCATAGAAAGCAGCAGAGGAAAACCATACAAATCAGCATTCTCCCTCATTCCTAAGAATAAAACAAGATGGTAGGCCTTACATATAAAACATTCCACGAAGAACAGCACTTAGGTTCATTGTTAACATAAGGCAGTGTAAAAAACCCCAAACCCTTAAATACCTCTTCAGTTCCTCAATTTGTTATTGATCCTAAATACAGCAGGGGTGGATTTCATACAGCAGTTCCAAGGAAGACACCAGCTTCTTGCTATGTGCTCGTTAGAACTGAAGGACTAAGAAAATATTCCAGTGGTTACGTGACACTTGATCCCACTTTCAGTTCCAAAGAATACTTCAGCAAAATAAACAGCACTAATAGTTAAGTGAAAAGTTATACACATAGTCTGGTATGAAGATGGATTGCAAAACCCACCTTTCATACTAGAAATGAACTTAATATTGAGGACTTTTTTCAACTCCTATTGGAATCCAATACAAACTTCTATCAGGTTTAACGGGGATTAAATAAATCATCAAGATTTTTAACGCTATGGAATTCAGTCATGTAAAATTTTAAATATAAGGTGAAACACTTCCTTCATGCACCAACGGCATAAAACCAACTATTAAACTGTTGATTTTTCTGTTTTTCCCAAATAGTAGAGACTGTGAATAACAAAAACTTGAATCTTGCAAAGAAAGTTGTACTGTGGAGAACTATTGTGTCCAGGCAGACCATAGTCCCACTTTGATAAAAAAATGCTGAAGACAGGAATCTTTCTTTATCAGTCAGACATATTGAGATTGTATTGGACACATCAGTTATTGGTTGAGATTTTTTAAAAGCATTTAGACAGAAAAATAGGTTTTCCCACAAATGTTGGCAAGTTGCTTCAAATATGATTAAGCATTTCCAAGTACCTACAGCACATCATGCAAAAAAGGTGAAAGTTACTAAATGAAATTATTTCAGGAACAGATGTTTTCATTTAGTCCCCACAATGAATAACATGGACACCAAGAGGTAGACAGATTTTGAAGACGTGTGCTTTCAAGTTATCTCTAGCATAAAAGATTCTTCAGCCTAAAACATTCAGAAAGAGGAACACATTTTCAGTGTTAGCACTTAAGAAAAAAGATCAGGAGCAAACATCCCAGATTTTGGACATACCACTTTATTTTCCAGTGAATATCCAACTTATAACACTTGCATCATTGCTTATGAGCCTTCAAACTGATGAAATACTAAAACCTACAGCTCCAGTGCACAGTTAATTAGATATCTAAATCTTAATAAAAATAATCAGTGCAAAAATAAAAATTAATTCAGTATACAGTTAAATGTGTTCTGTTACAAAGATATTTAGGCTTTGAGCACGTATACATCAAATAATCTGGTAAGAGAATCCATTTCCAGTCTGTGCTCCAAACAAAACTATTCCACACCCAATTCTAAAGACAGGCAAGGACTATTTTTTTCTTTTTTAAATGAAAAGTCAGAGCTTAGTTACAACATTCATCACGGGTACACAAACTAACAGAAATCACCCTCTATTCAGACAGGAGTTGTTCACAAATAGGCTTTCCTATTTTTCATGTGTGGGATCCTTTTGAGACATCTATGTTTTTTCCATTCAGAACAGAGAATTAACAACATTCCAGTGTGCCCCAGTGTTGGCAAATCCTCTTTTCAGTCCAGATACACGATGATGATTGATGAAGCTGTTGGGTCTACGGTAGCAGGCAGAGCAGCTTGGCAGAAATTCAGTGTTATTGAAAGAAATCTCAAATACTTATTCCATCTTCTCTACTAACTTTAATCACACTATCAAAATGTTGCCAGGAATGGAGCCTTGAAACCAAGCCATAAACCTACACAAGCAACCCTTGTTGGTATATTACTGCTGCAATACAGGTAATGCGTAAATTCTGTTTATTTTTACCTGTTTCCATTCTACATTGGACACCAACTAAATTATGGAAAGATATTTCCTGCACTAACGGTTAGCTTGCAGCAAATTTCATTAAGGTACTACGTCTCATTTTCCTTGGTTAATGAACTGATTAAGTTAACTTCTTCAGTTACACTGCTGGTAACTGCAAGTTTGGGATAAAGGAAAGCAGTGCAGGAATGGATTTCATGTATGCTGTACAAGCTGGTAAGAAAGCAGATCAGTACTACAGGCATTTAACCACTAATCTGCTCACTTGTTATTCTGATAAAGAAACAAAAATCTTACCTCAATTGCTTCATAAATTTCTGACAAGCTTATCCTAAGTAAACCAACAGCATGCTAAATATTTAAGTAAACCTGTACTAGCTACAAAGCTAATACAAAGACTGATATGCTTTCTCATGATCACTTTTTTAGCTTGTTTTAGCTTTGCTTAGAAGAGTAAAGCTTAAAAAGAGAGGCCTGAGAGATTTACAGAGAAAAAAAAAAAGGAATTGTTGACCAAGCTTACTTTACAATTTTTATGTTAACAAAAACCATTCAAATTGCAACTCTATGCCATAATACTGAACATACAACCCAAAAGTTTGAATTACAATTGGATTTAAAATTGTGTTGCGATCTTCCACTGGTTAATCTTCAAAGTAAAATACTCCATAAGACAAGTTTATTTTCTTGAAATCTTTGAGCAGAATACAGAGTTTTCCCAGTGAATTCTCAGCTAACTATGGCTGGAATCTATTAACCTACTTTTTGGGAAAGGGCTGTGGCTCCACACCAGGATAGTTGATATTACATTAGTCTCTGTTTTCCCAAATGATACGATACTCTGCTGATGGGAGAGAACTCCAGTTTGCAACTCCCTGAGCTGATGTAGTCACACAGTTTTCAGTTACACTTCCAACAAATACTGGCATTCCACCTGCCCTGAACCAAAAAAGCATAGATAGGCACTTAAGTTGAAAGTATGCAAATCTTTTCTTCCCGTACCAAGGCAGTAGAGGAAATTCTCCTTTTTTCTATCAGCTTCAGCTTTCCAAAAGAACCTCAATTTAAGTCAGAAGCAACTGAGCATGGCACAAATCCAGCATTATTAAAAAAGGTCTTAAAAAGAAACGTATTTGGCCAGTTCCTTCTCCATCTCAGAATACTGCTCTTTGAGGCGCTCCATAGCTTTTCTGTGCTCTTCGTCCACCTCCACACGTTTGTTCTGCTGCTCTTTCATGAACTCCTCCCAGTGGGCAATGCACTTCTCCTCTCGAGCCATCACCTTGTCTGCCTGAAGCTGACAGGAGGAAAATACAGAGTTTTTAACAATCACTTCCATATTAAAAGTATCTGCAAACTAGCAAGAAAACATATGGAAAGGAGAAATTAAAAAGAAAATATTTATTTTTGTATAGCCAATCCAAAACAAGTGGTAAAATGTCTGCAATAGTATTAATGTTATTGTATTAGCAATGATGCTATTTCTATAAAATACAACGACAGAGATATTACATGTTTTGAAACTGGCAGCTAGTGTTTCTGCTTTAGCCAGCTACCTCTCACTGTGATTAATGTCTTCCTTTATAAATAAGTTATTTTTCCCCTCATACTTTCCTACTGCTTGGCTTCTGCTAAGTCTAATTCCATTCATTATCTTATCTTGAAAAGAAAAATTAAAAATGTTTACGTATCTAGAAAAAGAGATCATACACACATCCAATGCACATGACAAAATGCAGTGTAATTCTGTGGATTGCTTGAGAGCTGTATTAACAGTCTGGCCCCCTTATATCACAAGTGCAGTGCCCAAAATAAATCTAGGCAGTTGTTCTTCCATTTGCTCCATCTCCCAGCAAAAGAGAGGATTAATCCTTCCTCTTTTTTTGCCTCTCTCCTTTTCGGTGTATCAGCAATGACTGTTTCTTATGTGTGGAATTTTTGTCAGCTAAAGGTACTGGGAACCCATTTATATATTAAACACTCTCTCTGCTGTTCTTCAAGATCACACGGCAAGGGCTAAATACAAAACTTTTTTTCAGTGCAGCCTTTGAGACACTTTAACAACATTATGCCAATATCCATTTTTGCTTCCAACAGATACAGTAACATCTACTGACAAAAATACACCAGTGCACTCTAACAGTTTGACTGGTACGCTATTTTGTAATCAACAGGTTTTGAAACATTGGTGTTTCAAACACTTTTTGACACAATTACACATTACATACCCAAACCTGACACGACCTTCCACCAAATTCTCATTATTTTTTTGGAACACATCATTTCAGAAAAGTAAGGAAAAGGTATTTCTTCTCAAGTGGCTGCACTACAATGACAAAAATTTATCTATATTTTTTAAAAAGTTATCTACATGTTACTACTCCCTTTTGGAAAGTTTCAAGCCAAAAAGTCTTACTCTACAAACTCCAAGAAATGCTATGGATCCTGGATACCTGTAACTACTCTTTCACTACATATTAAAAGAAAAAAAAACCAAATAAAGTGGAAACATACAGCTAATATTTTTAAAAAAGGACAGTCACCATTCTTACTAAGTGACTGTTCATTTTCTAAGTTTTAAATTTCTTATTAAAGTCTTACTTCAAACAAACAGTGGCAGAACTGTAACCTCTCTATGAATATCTACTCTAGTGTCAGACACAAGCAAACTCTGTCAGTGCTCAGACATGTGCTGTTTGCCCAGTACCAGTATTCAATTCCAAGTGGACTGCCCATCTTCATCAGTTGCAAAAAAGGAAAGAAAAACATGACTATCAGCTTACATCCATCAATGCACAGCCTGTTTTGCTTGATGGCCATGGAAACGTCTTTGGTTTTTCCTGAACTAAATTATTATCAATGGCATTTTGCAAGTTAAGAGATAACACAGGAACACAATAAAGAAGTAGTAATGGGAATACATGAAACTAATTTCTTGTATAATTTTCCAGGTTTTAGATTCAGAACACATGTATTTCAAATAAGCAAAGGGTAGCCAACTGAAAAGGTTCCAATGATTCGCATGTTCCTATAATATAGCCCTTCATTAAATAACCCATCCACAAGTGAAAAAAAACACTTCCTTTTCAACAAGCAATATATATAATATGGTCAATGTTCTCAGCTAACTAGGAAAGATTTACATTTCCATTCTGGTAAGTTAGTAGATGTTTCTTGTTCCACAGAAAATAAGCTTTTTTTATATTTAAGCTTTCCCTGTATGTGACAAATGTTATAGTCTGAGCTAGGAGGGAAAATAAAGCAAAGGAAATAAAAAAATAGTTTCCATATACCAGGAGATTGTAGCAAGAGTTAGCTAGATCCATTAAATTTGCAGTGTGCATTTTATAAGTGCAGAAATCACCCCAAAGGAAGTTTTACTGCAAGTACACAAGGTACGGAAAAATATGTTTTTAAGTTTTGCTATACTGAAAGCAGACAAACTTGCTGTGAAGCACAGGACTCTTAGATCACAAAGTAAAAATCCGTCCGTCCGTCCATCCATCCATCCATCCGTCCATCCATCCATCCTTTACCTTTCTCACTTCCAACTCCCTCTCTTGGAGTCTATGGATCATAGCGTTGGCAGCTTGCACTGAAACAAAAAATTGCAGTAGATCAGGCTGCTGCTGTAAATCAAAGAGACTTGCCTGAAAGGGATTTAGAAGATGTGAGGCTGTTGCATAGTGAAGATTATATTCCACTGTGTCACTTAACTGTGCCCAAGGGTCACCTGTACTTACAGAAAATGCTTAACACTTACAACATTTACACTTAGAAAAGTAAGCAGGCTTATTGCAGAGTTCAACCTTTGTATGTTCTAGAAGGAAAAAGCAGGAAGGCAGTGAGGCCTTCTTGTGCTCACACTCTTAGTGTTGCTGATGAGCTGGAGTGCAGTATTCAGCACCTCAGAAGACATCAAAAACCACTCTCAAATCAGTAAGTAGAAACAGGTGACCAAACTCTAGTTGGGGTTTTTCCCCTTATTTTTTTCTCCATCAGCTGTGTATAGACTCCACATGTACAACATTTTATGCTGAAGTCCATCTCTTCTCTCCCAGACTAAGCCTAGGAAAACTTGTCAATGGAAATAGGAACTGTATTCCAACGCATTCCTCCCCCCGCCCCCAACTTAATTAACACTTAATTTTAACACAGAATTAAATATACTAGTTTCTCAATCAGCAACTGGATGCAGTCCTGGACAACTGGTCAAGCTGCTGCTGCTTGAGCAAGGAGGTTGGGAGAAGGGCCCAGAGGTCCAGAGGTCCCCTTCCACTCCAACCATTCTGGGATTCTATAACTGGAGATGTACTGCACACATGGCCATTATAAAGTCAGGGAGCAGCATGAAAAGTTCATCCCAGTTAGATGGTATTAGGATACCTTATGACTAAATTTTAAATTTCAATGTTTTCCTGCAATACTTTTGGTGTGTAAAGCACCATCTACCATTTGCTATTATGCATATGCTAGATGTCATATAAATAAGTTATAGGAAATTAAATGTTTATACAACATGTCACACATAAATTGTAACAAAACCCACAGTGGCATGTTTCAACTGCATAAATTTGGCAGCTAAAGCTGTGTACCAACACTCTCTTAGAATCTCTTTTGAAGAAGCCATCTTGCTAAATGAGTAAGAAAAAAAAGAATGCTTAAAAATTAGCAAAAATTTCAAACATTCTTTTAAAGTCTGAGCAGTAAAGAAATATATTAATAAGGATGAAACTAAGATTATCATGCAACTTGTGGCTTCTCAATTTGTGACTCAATAATAATAATAATAATAATAACAACAACAACAAAACAACAACAACAACAATAATAATAAATTTCATAGCTATACAGCAGGAAGTTTTGTTTTAAGTAATATGAGACAGTATTATGCACTCCCGTGGGAAAATTAAAAAACTTGAAGGTTTCCACAGCATGCTTGCAACAAACCAGGAAATTGAAATTTTGTCTATGGCTTTAGTCAACGTGGAACACTATTTCCAAGTGAGTAGGAAAGGAATGAGCTGAAACAGCTTCTACTTAAATCAAAAAAAACTTTAACACAACCTTAGCAAGAGCTGATCAGCTGACTATTATAAAAAAATGTCCCTGTTGTTTCCCTTTTAGAGTCGCACAGAAGTTATAACAAAGCACATAAATAGAATAGAATATTCTAGAATAGAAAATCAAGTGTGGTAATTTTTTAACAACTCATATTTTGAATCCAAGCTATTTAAATTACTCAAAATGATGCATCAAGAGCAATAAGAAGCAAGCTGCTTACATCTCTTGAAGGTTTCACTCAAATTGTCTTGCATTGCCTGCTCACACTTTGGCAGAACACGTTCATTTGTTTCAAAGACAGTATTTTTTAGATTTTCAAGTACTCGCAGTTCTCGGAGGCCACGTTTTTCCTGCCACAAAAATGAAAGAAAGTGAGTGGCTAGCAAGGAATTCCACTTGACAAATTAAAGATGGTTTCCCAGTTGATAAACTAATAGCTTCATCTCAAAGACTAGACCTTGTCTACTAAAGTGTTACTCTACTTATTCAACAACACAGAAAAAACTGCCAAATAAAAAGAGAGCAATGTTCCATTCTTTACATTAAAATACAAAAATCCTTTGAATGACTCCTCTGGCCCTTGTGAGAAAAAACAACATTAACTGTTTGCACACCGTACAGAAAAAAATGTCCTGTTTTGTATAGATAATTTATAGCTACTCTAAAACAACAGAGAGCAACAGAGCTCGAAAGTATTTCATTTTATAACTCAGTTGGTTACTGAGAAATAACACAGCTTGCTTGATGTCTGACCCTCCACATTTAGTATGGCAGGAGGTGAAAACAAGTAAAATTGTTTTAACTGAAGTAAAGAAATCAAGTTGACTAAAAAAAATATAACTAATTAACTAAATAATATAACTAATAATATGACTAAAGAGGCAGCGCTTCTAGATCACTGGTGATCATGATTAATTACAAGTACAGCAAGATCTTGTTTTATTGTCTAAATTTCAAAAAATAATCTATTTTTCTGAAGCACAGCACTCTTCCCACTCTGAATTTCACCAGCATTTTACTTTGGATAAAAACTCTACATAAACAAGATACTCTATCACATGGAGGGGGACAGGGATTACCATACTCATTTTAAACCTTCAGAAACAGAGACACAGATAAATAAAACTCCTTAATAAAACAGGCTCCAGATTTCCTGAATGCAAATCTGCATTCCTTGCACACTAGGTGCTAATCATTGAAAAAACAAGCACGTTTGAATCAAAAAGTATCTCATATCTCAAAAGTTAGAAACAAGTGGAATTTTTGGGTGCTGCTGGTCCTAAGCCCGCTTAAAAGAAATTCTAAATTGCAAAAATTTAAACAATCCTCTACCTATTACTATTTTCCCCCCATAAAAGTATAAGCCAGTAACTAAATTTCAATAAAAGATCTAAGAATATATTAAATTTGTCTAAGAAGCATAAAAAGACTTCAGGTGAAACGAGACAAATATATGAGTTATCAGCCTAAAGATATAAGTTCTAATTTTGTCCATGAGTTTAATATTTTCCTTCCTGTGGAATGACATTTAAAACAACTTGCTGTATCCTATAGCTTAATTAGGGAAAGCAGAGAAAAGAAATTATTTCTTGTGACTCAAGCCCATATGATACAGATCTGATGAAAGTTTATTTAATATCTGTATTTTGCTAAACCAGCAGAGACAAAATAGACCTGCTTGAAATATAAGCTACAATCTAGGTTGGGGGGGAATGAGGGGATAGACATTTTAATGTCATTCAATTCAGGTCTGCACACTGGAATTTTGAGGTGTAACTGCATGTTCAGTTAAATTTTTAAATTCCACATTCTGTAAGAAAGAAAATCTATCTATAAACAGCCTTTTGCTGGCATAGGATTCAAATTTTCTAAACTTTTGCTGCCATCTTGTGGAAACCAAATTATACTTCCCGGGAAAAGCTGTATATAAACACTTCTACGCATTCGGTACTTTAGCGTTATTTGCAGCCAATAAAATAACAATTATTCAATTTTCAATGATTTTATTACTTTGCACAAAGTGCTCCTCTTCTCTTCCAGTAGTATCACTTTCTCTTGTGTAACGAAAATCAAAGAAAATAAAAATATAACTGTGGTAGCTGAATCCAGCTGAGGCTTAAAGTAGTTTCTCAAGAACATGTAAACCTACACTGGCCAACAGTACTTTGCTTGAATCAACAGGACTTCTCTAAAATGTCAGGACTACATTATTCTCCTACATCAATATTCTTGCCAGTCCTCTGCAGGAAAAAAAATTTAAAAATACATGTTCTTTTCTAAAGTCAAAAAAAAAAAATCTAAATTACTGCCTTGTTTGCTAAAGATGCAGACGTACACTACAGGTGTTTTATTTTAGGGAAAAAAAAATCCATGTCAAACCCTTTGAAGGAAGTTATGTACCTACTATAATATCTTAAAAGATGCTTAAATCTGTTCAAAGTTTCAGACCCTGCCAGCATCCAATAAGATACAAATACTTACTTCAAATTCTTTAACAAAGTAACGTATTTCTCCCTGAATTACTGGTCGGTGATCCAGCAGTCTTGAATAGACTTCCCCAAGATCTGGAAGAGTAATGAAAGTCAGAATTTTAGTTTTTCTCTCACTCTCACACCAGGCTACACAACACAGGCACTGCACTATACCTCAGTGTGAGGAAGGACTACTGCTCACCAAGTACATACAAAACCAAAAGAGCACCAGAACAGAATTTGTAGGGTAAACGTATCAATCTAGCAAACCACCAGTTTAGATAAAACACAACGAACCAGTATTCCAGATGCCAAAGACACCTTTCTGTAAAGATGAACGCTCTCCTCTGTGGCTCAGCACCTTTTGTGCCAATCCTCTTTCTCCTCTGTACAGCTTCCATATGTGATCGTTAGTGCTGGTAAAAGACCAGAACTAAACGCTGCAGCTTAACAAAGATCCACAGAGTAAGTGTGGGAGTCTTCTCCAGCAAGAGACAGGAGGAATCCTCACTACAAAAGAAAACCCTCAGCATTTTCCTGTACTCTAAGGCCAGACTTGAAATTTCAAGTCTATTTCAGTCTTGGAAAGGAGTATTTACTATTTAAGTATATGAGGAGAAACAGACTGGCCTGTCACAAAGAAAAAGCCCGCTAAACTGAACAGCACCGTGAGAGCACAGCAAATACTGTTGTAAGAAATACACAAAGTATCCCCAAAAAAAGACTTTAAGGTGGCACTGCCATCTAAAGGATGCGTTCTCCTGCCCCAGCTGATGGACTTGCCCGGTGGCTCTACTGTATCTACCCGTGTTTGTTCAACACCCTGAATCTCACCACGTTCAAAACGGTGCAGAACGACTATTTAGAAATTCGGGAAAGCCATGGTTGTAGTAAATGAAGCATCGGCTAAACCACTTCCCAGTCCAAATGCTTCTGTGTACGGATTAACCAGGACAAAACTTGGGCGAAGAAGACCAAAAGTAAGAGCTTCCCAGGAAACTCCATGCCCGTGGCAAGGCCTCGGTGGCCGACTCGGCTCCCCGAAAAAAACAGAGACACCTTGGTTTCCAGTTCTGAAAGGTGGAAGCCAGCTAAGCCTCCCAGGTGTCCAGCTTTAAACCTCAGCACACGCCGCCGAACCTGGGAGGGCTGGAGGGCGCTGGAATCCCGGGAAGCCGGACCAGTCCTAGGGGCTCCTGGGCCGTCTCTCTGCCGCTGCCGCGGGGTTACACGGCGGGCTCGGCACCTCTGGGCCCCGCACTCCTCCCTCCTTACCCTTTATGATGGGCTGGATCGGGGAGCCGGCGGCCGGAGAGTCCCGTCTCCTGTCAGCGGGCGGCGGAGCCGCGGGGCCGCCGCGGCCGGGGGACGCGGGGCCGGCCCCGCTCATGGCGCTCGGCGGGGCCCGGGCAGCGCAGCCGGGCCGCCCCGGCCCTTCCCCGGCCTCCCTCCGTCCCTGCCTCCCTTCGAGCTTCCGCCGGGCCCGGTGCCGCGCCGTGAGGTCATCGCGGCGCGCCGGCCGCGGCTGCGGAACCGCCCCCAAGGAGCCCCGAGCCCCCAAACCTGCGCACGGGTGCGGAGAAGGGCGGCGGGGCTGGAGGGCATGTCCTGTGAGGAGCGGCGTGAGGGAGCTGCAGGTGTTCAGCCTGAGGTGTTTCGGCAGAGGAGGCTCAGGAGAGACCTGGCTGCTCCCTACAAGCGCCTGGAAGGAGGGTGTAGCCAGGTGGGGATCGGCCTCTCCTCCCGTGTAAGCAGCGACAGGGCAGGAAGACATGGCCTCAAGGTGTGCCAGGAGATGTTCAGGTTGGACATGAGGAGGAATTTCTTCACAGAAAGGGTGATTAGACACTGCAAGGGGCTGACCAGGGACATGGTGGAGTCACCATTCCTGGAGGTGTTTAAGGAGAGACTGGACGTGGCACTTGGTCTAGTTGACATGGTAGTGTTTAGACAGAGATAGGATTTGATGATCTCAGAGGGTTTTTTCCAATCTAATTGATTCTCAGATTCAGAAATTATTGTAAGAGACATACATTAAGCAACCCAGTTTGCTTCTAGGTGCAGAAAACATGAATAGCAAGTGCTGGACATGCAGGCTGCAAAAAATCCCCAAACCAAAACAAACAAAAAACAAACGAAAAAAGCAGCAGTCTCTATTTACAACTATTTAAAAAAGCAAAAATTATGTTAAATCCCTGTACATTTCTTTTAAAACCAATTCAGAGTACAAGAGAGGCTCTCAGTACGAGAAAGACATGGAGCTCCTGGAGGAGGTCCAGTGGAGAGCTACAAAATTGATTAGGGGACTGGAGCATTTCTTACAATGAAAGGCTGAGGGAACCGGGCTTATTCAGCCCTGAGAAGAAACAACTGAGACGGAACTTTATCACTGTCTTATCAGTATCTGAAGGGAGGGTAACAAGAGGATGGAGCGAGGCTCTTGTTGGTGGTGCCAAGCAGTAGGACAAGAGGCAAGGGGCAGAAATTGATGGACAGGAAATTCCACCTAAATATGAAGAAGTTCTTTACTGTGCAGGTGACTGAGCACTGGAACAGATTGCCCAGAGAGGTTGTGGAGTTCCCCTCCTGGACATACTTAAGTACCTTCTGGATGCAATCCTGTGCAAATGCTCTGGAATGACCCTGCTTGAGCAGGGAGGTTGGACCAGATGACCCACTGTGGTCCCTTCCAACCTGACCCATCCTGTGATTCTGTAAGAGTTTTAGGGTATTTTCAATATACTTCCCCTTCCTCCTGGGCACTTAAAACTTACAGTATATTAACTTCTGTTTGTTACTTTTTTTTCCCTGCTACTCAGTAATTTCTAGAACGGGTTGATTCTATTTAGGCCATTGCCTAAATTCAAATTTGTTTCTTCTTTTGCAGGTTTTTTTTTTTTAATCTGCAATACATACCACACTTCTCAATGTCATTGTATGGTCAACAAGGAATAAACTGGACCACAAATTCTGCTATAGCTGAATAGTGTCCTGAAGGCTTCCTTCCTACCTGGAATACCAGAAAGGTGCTAGTTTAGCTGGAACAATTACTAGTTTGTTAGTAGAAAACAGGAGTAGTATGTATGCTTTGTCAGAAATTAGTTCTGCCTATGTTCTACTCTGCGTAGTTTTTATAAGTAGGGGCAATTGTGTGAAAAAAAGGGACTTTTAAAAGCTATTAGAACTGACACAAAAAATGATTTTATTATTTAATCCTGTGCCATATCATAAAAGGTTGGAAACTGCTCATGGAAATTACTGTATGGGTTTTGTTTTGTTTTTTTTGACAGTATCTATAATCTTCTAAATTCAGGCTTAAAAATGAGTTAATTGGTTTTGTTGAAAAATTTCTCCCAAAATCCGGCAAAATATAGCTGGAACCTGCCTAAATAATAAAATGAATCTTACATTGGGAACTGTTCAATACTTCAACTAACATTATTATTAAATTTAGCATAAATATATAATGGTGTTTTACACTCCTTCACTGTTACACAGTCTGTAAGTATTACACTAATTAGGGAATTATTAGATAGAAAAATTATTTTTAAAATAGTTCCTTCCTACATTATCTTTTTTCCTGAAAGTGACCACCTATTGCAACCTGTAAATCAGTATTTATATTTTTCCACTTGAATACAAAACATGCAATCATTTGACAATAGTCAGTAAATTAGAGTCATGCTTATATATTGATAATATCTGCAGGATATTCCAGCTGCTCAATCATCATACTAATACAATTATACAATACTAATTTGGGCTAGAATTCTTCAAATGTTAATTTTACCCTTTCCAGCTTAGCTGCCATCTTTTCATAGCCTCTGTGACAATTTATTTGCTCCTCTAAGCCCTATGCTCTAGCTTTTTATTTGTTAAGAAGAAAACTCTGTAGTTGAGGGGCTTTGTAAAGACTGATTTTCTAGGAAAGTTTTTATATCATGATTAATGTCAGGTTCAGAATTACGGGATTGCAACAAGGGAAAATCCTGTGACAGTTGCATTGGTTTCTAGGACTACTGTTCTGAAACCATTCCTCCTTTGTTTGAATAATGTTTTTTTTTTTTTTTTTTTTTTGTTTTTTTTTTTTTTAAGTTTATGCTGTTTGTTGTATTT